GTTTGCTTGCTGTGATTGCTTGCGTGATACAGTGGATGGATGGATGAGGATGGATGGATGGATGGATGGATGGAGTGTAAATAAAGGCGCGGGGGTGCGGGGGAGAGCGCAGCGCCTCCCCGGCAATGCGAACCAAGTATCGACAGCATTGGGAAAACACAGGGTTGTGTGGTTTTGGTTGCTGGTTTGTTGGTGTGTCGGTTGGTTCAGCCTGCTTGGTTTGTTGGTTGCTTGGATTTGGAGAAAACATGAGAAAACACATACAGTGATGGATGGATCATGGACAGGGACAAAAATGTAACTTTTTGGTGCGTTGGTTGCTTGGTTTGCTTGCTGTGATTGCTTGCGTGATGCAGTGCTTGATGGATATGCAATTTTTCTGTTTGTGTGCTTGGTTGATGGATGGATGGATGGATGGATGCTGTGTAGATAAAGGCGGGACGGGGTGCGGAGGGCGCAGCGCCTTCTCCGCAATGCAAACCAAGTATCGACAGCATTTGGAACACAGGGTTGCGTGGTTTGGGTTGCTTGGTTTGTTGGTTTCTTGCTTGTTTGATGGGTGGATGGATGGATGGCCTGATACGCAATTTTTCTTGTTGTGTGCTTGGTTGATGGATGGATGGATGGGTGGATGCATGGACGGACGGACGGACGGACGCACGGACGGATGCTGTGCAAGTCAAGGCGGGAGGGGGTGCGGGGGAGGGCGCAGCGCTACAGGATGGGTGGTTTTGGTTGCTTGGTTTGTTGGTTGCTTGGTGGGTTTGTTGGCTTGGCCGCGTTGTTGTTTGGTTGGTTGGTCGGTTGATTGGCACTCCGCTGGTGGATGCGTGGATGGACGGATGCTGTGTAAATGGGGAGGGCGCAGCGCTTCCCCTGTGGCCGCGTTGTTGCTTGGTTGGTTGGTTGCCTGGCACTCGGTGACGGATGGATGCATGGATGGATGGATGGATTTTCGGCGGTTCCCGCCGTTCCGGACAGTCTTTACGCAGTTTCCGGAGGGTTCCGAAGGGCTAGTAACAAGAAACTTTTGAGGTGAAAACAAAGGGTTTGGCAGGTGCAGGGACAAGCGGTGTGAAACAAACCGGAGGTGACGTCGTTCTTTGTGCAGGTTCCATGGGATACCTGCTTCACCGGCGGAGGGTTGAAATGAAAGGGCCGAGGGTGAAAAAGAAAGGGTGAAGGGCGAAAAAAAACAAGGCGAAGGGTGAAAGAAACCTGCTACAGGGTGAAAATGACAGGCTGCAGGGTAAAAATAAAAGGTTTTGGGAGGGTAGGAGGAGAAAAAAAGTTCTAACGAGTGGGAAAAAAGGAATCTTGAGGAAGAAAAAAAAAGGTTTCGAGGGTGGGGAAAAATGGAGGGTTAAAAACACATTGTTCGAGGGTGAGAAAAAAAGGGAACCCTTGCGGAATTCGCAGGAAAAGTCCTCCATCCCCTCGACTTGCCTTGCTGTACGGCAGGTTGATAACTGGGTTGCCGTCGCCCTCGTGCCTTTTCCAGAGAGGTGGGCAAGAAGGTGGTGATCTCTCACTCAATAAGCCTTAGGGCTCCAAGCACCTTCTGAGAAGGTGTTTGGGGTGGGTTTGGATGGTCCAAATACCCTCTTGAAAGGGTACTTGGGGCCCTAGGGACATGGCTCGTGAGCGCAACAGCATGTTGAATTCTTGGGCCTTGACAGACAGGGATCTGGTGGGGTTTCATACGTTGCTTGCGGGCATATGAAGGAGTTTGCTGATCAAAAAGGCGTTCAGGTTGATAACGACAAGATTTCCTAGCGCCACTAACGTCTTCGGTTGCAAGTCAAAGCTAAGCCGTACGTTGGTGGCTAGCTTGACGAAAAGCGGCATGAAAATACGCCATAATGTCACTACGAAACTCTCGCCACTTCGCCAATGGCGTGGTCTGTGGAAACCTGCCGGCGGAGCTACGGATGTCAATCCGAAGGTCTGCGGGCATCTTCACAACAAACGCCACAGCCATTACCAAAAGCAGTGTCGAAGAAAACATGCAATTTCCCATGCACAGCCAAGTTCCTCGGCGGTAACGTTTGCCAGCTGAAACCAATTTGTTGTCTCGGCGCTCTAGCACGGGAACCCCGGGGGCAGACCACTGGCACCACATATTCGCTGCTGGCGCAACTATGAAGTTTAGCTGTGCAGAGAAATTGTTGGATGGTTTGTATGTACCAAGAGTTTTTCTGCCCAACAATTTCTTCTCCATGGCCACACAAAGTGCAGGCATGTGCCCAAAAGCACTTTAGTCAAATGAACATCAGCCACCTTCTTGCCAAGAAAGGTCTGGAGAAACAAGAGAACTCAGGACAGTTCAGGTGCGCAGTTCCAGGCTATTGTCAGTGCATCGGAGTGCATCAGCGCATGAGGCGGGTGGTGCACGTGGCGTTGCAAAAGCCTTCCCAGATTTCTGGCCAAAGAAATTTGTCCGATGGCCGATGGCTTCGCAGGAAATCGTTGCCCAAAAAATGCCCTGGGTGCATTGCAATGGAAAGGCAACAACGCAGTTTTCATCACAACATTGGCCTGCATGTTCTTATGGAGGGGCTGGCGGGCATACTGCTGAGAGAGCAATCTGCTAAACCAAAGCAAACCAAGGACAAACTGCTCGCTTTGGCGATAAAGACCCCCATTGCAACAAGTCGCTGCAACAACACAGAACTGTCTATGCAGCTGTAGTAACTAGCCCGTGATGTTGCCGAATCTTATAGACGTGGGCATGTGAACAAGAGAGTGGTTTCGCACCATGTTTTGACATGATTTGCCAGAACTGACTTCACATACTTTCGCTACCTCGACCCCCAAAAGAGTGGAAACTTGAGATGCGAAAGTGCGCCAAACGTTCAGCACAGGTTTTGGGGAACCTGGGGAACTCCATGCACTTTTCGAGTCGGGTTCGTGGCAGTCTTGCAGGGCCTTTGCAGGCTGTGTTTGCTGAAAATCTGTCTCGCTTGCTTCGTGCAGGAACAGCAGCGCGTGGAAACACCCTTCTTATGGTTTTTGCTAGCAAACCAAGGAGCTTCACAAGTCATGAAACTGCATGTGATAGATATCAAGCAAAGGTGGAATTCGAAATGATTAGAACACTAACCTCGGAGGCAAAGCACACATCGGAACAAAGCTCGCGAGGTTTAGACCAAAGAGACTTCGTTGTCTACGCGAGACCCGAGACTCGAGACTCACTGGAAGCTCTCAGTTCCCAACGGACGCCCAGTTGTCTGTAGGCAACCCGATGAAGAACTTCCAGTTGTCTGTGGGGCCCATTGAAACAGTCCGACAAAGGACTTGTATACTTTCTACCTGACAACTGTTCTGGTTTGTCAGCCGTCGCTGTGGTTGCTGTGAGCGCGGGAATACTCGTCACGCAAGCTGGCCAAGGAAACACTCCTGCAGCCCAAGTTGTGAGTACATTGTGAGTACTTGACTCGACCCACAAATCCCAATCAAGAGGTTGTTATATATGGAGATTGTTGGTCAACACAATTATGCTTATGATGGAATGACGCATCGCCATCGATGAACCCGCTGCTGAACCTGTAATCTTCTCGCGGTTTCCCCTCCGGTGTCGCATCGTCACGGGCGTTTCGCGTGCTGCCTGCGCAGTTGGATGACCGGGGTAGCAGCAACCGGGCGGAGAGAAGGCCATTTCGGCGAACGAGGGAAGGGGTTCCTGGAAGAACCGCAGGAAGAAGGGGACTCAACAAAATCAAACAGGTCACTCCGCGGTTCTTTCCTTCGAAGCACTGGCGCCATACTTGGCCAACAAATGCGTGGCGCTGGCGGTACGCGGCTCCTTGGCGCTCATCGCGGGTCGCAGCAGCTCTTCCGTCGCGTTGAGTTCGCGTGCGTGCCGTGCCGGGTCAAAGAAACACGGAAGGAGTCCAAGCGAAGTCTGACGTCGGCACCAACAAATGGCTGGAAAACCAGTGAATCAAATGGCTCAAAACTCAAAACCATGATTTGCCACGGCAAAAACTTGTTAGAATACGTGATACATATAGAGATAATTGCTGCACCTTGCCCCATTTTTGTCCTCGCGAGATGCGATGGAAAGTTTATCTTTTGCTTTGCACGATGCTTTTGGGCCCTCACAGGAAGCGATCCAACCTCAATCTGCAGTCTGAAACGATGGGGATGGGTATCATGGGTTACCTAATAGCAGCTGAAGTTCGGCCCCAAGCTCCATAGATCTTCTGAACTTCGATGCTTAGGAAGGGCCGAGTGGGACAGGCTGCTGAAAACAGGCGGGCTGAAAACCGGTCGAAAAAGCCTTGGTGACCTGGGATCAGCTGGGAACCACTCCTTCAGACCCTGCAGTGCAGCAGGTGCAAGAGGAGGTGCGAGGCAAGGCATCTGGAGCAGCGAGCTGATTTATGCTGGGACGGGGCTGGAGCGCAGTTCAGCGATGAAGAGCCCTGACATCTGAAAAATCCATGTAAGCTATATGGCAGAAGCCGGTCACGGTGACTTGTGTCACTGCAGTTCCTCCCCTCGCTCCGCTCCTTTATACCCATCCCATCCCTCATCCTCCATCCCTTCCCACCCATCCGCTCCCTCGTCCATTTCTCCTGCTCCCTCCCCTCCTTCCGCTACAGGGATCAGTCCAGTCGAAGCCGCGAAAAGAGCCCCGCGGGAACCACGCGAATCATCGCCCGCGTGAAGCAGCGGAGAAGCGATGAAGCGAGGCATGGAGATCACGGGATGTCATGTGCTTGAATTCTGCTTGAACGGCTCAGCAAGGACTTCGCCAACCAAAACATCTAGCGCAATGAAGCAGCGAGGCGCTCCTTTTTGAAGCTCTCCTTTTGGCCATCTCAGAAGGACAATCATACTACCAGGACCTTCCAACATGGTGTTAGGACAGTAAACCACTTAATTCAATGCTTTCTGGACACTGAACTTGTCAACACCGGATTTGGAGGGTCCTGGGTCCAGCTTCACCTTTCCAGCACGAAGCCACGGAGCTCGTCTGTCCCACCCATGGTGTTTCAGGCGGTCAAGGTGGCACCTGGCCGTTTTGGTGCAGAGGTTGGGTTCGGAGGCTTTGGGTCTGGCTTTTGAGAGATGAACAGGGGGTACAAAGGTAGCCCATCTTTTGATGCATTGATCCAAACACCCCCCCAAGATCTAAGTCCAGCGTTGCACCAGAGAAAGCGCTGCAGGGGGTAATCCTCTGGGCCGTTGGCCCAGTTGCACCACCAAGGCTTCATCCGTGCCGCAGTCCAATCCGATCCGTCAAAAAGATCCACTGCGATCAGGATGTGATTGTCTGCTATCAAGGTTTAACCGTTGAACCAGTTGGATCTATTTGGTGGTTTAGTGGTGATTCCCTAAAAGCCAAAATGGGTCTTGGTCTGAGAGTCTAAGAGTACAGTGTGCAGGACGGTCTTTCTTCGATCTCCTGCCTTCCGTGACACTGCTGGCCAGGCCCAAGCCTGGCAGAACGCAGTGTTGTTTGACGACCGCATCATATGGCTCTGATGTCCAAAAAAAGGGGTACCTGGGGGTCAACCCAGGTCCAAAATGAATAGAATGAACGACTTACAGGAGGTCAATCTGCCCTGGTTTGGTCAACTTTTGACACCCTGCCGCCTCGGGAATGACCCTGGCAGGTTTGGCAGGAACCAGCAGGCGCAGGTGGCAGGCTAAGAAAGCCGTACCCGAACTGAAAAAAGGCTGCGCAGCCTTCTCGCGGCTGCCGTTGTTTGATGTTGTTAGGTTGGAAGAACTTAAACACCTTCACGGTGTTCCTCAGTTGGCTTGTGTGATTTCCATCTAAAGGAGTGACTACTGACTACTGGTATCCTGTGGCACATGTCTGAAAAGAACATGTCATCGACAAAACACAGGCCCCGCAGGGCTTGCATTGAACAAACAGCCCTTGGTGCGTAGAACGAATCCCGTCATAGACTCGGGGTCTTAAACCAGTCGTTGTTCTCTAAACGGTGCGACGAACGGTTTCCAACTATACACAGATCCACAGAGCGAACAAAGCGGGTGAGTCACTGTAGTAGTCCAATCATGTGTCAGCTGACAGCATCTTCCCCTCCCATTCTGTCTTGTCTGTGCTAGACACTGATGGGCGCATGACCCGACTTGCTCGGAAGAAAGCAAGGGAAGAAAGCAAGAGAAGCTTTCGTATCGTCCATGATGATCCCACATTCAAGTAGCAGCGTAGCATCATTCTGCCCTCCAAATGCATTCTAACTCTGTCTGCTATTGCTTAGCTGCGTAATCTGGGGTACAGAAAACCCACAAAAGATGAGCTGGCAGGACCCTCGTGAAAAGGTATGAAATCAAAAATGTCTGATCCGAACGTAAAGACTCACATCTTCCTCATGAACAATTGTTTTTTGTTGAAGCAAGTTGGCTCAAATAGAATTGGACAGCCAGGACTGAGCGGCCTCAAATTTATCTGCTCCAAGTTGTTCATGTCAACAAGTGATATTCCCTCTTTTGGGGGACCTACCAAATGTCACCCAAAAAACAGACTTAATGTCTGCTGGCTGCTAAATCGGTGCCACTTACAAGCTTCAAGCAGGACCATCTTCTCCGACCGAAGACAACCCCGTGGTTTCCCGTCCCCCATCCCTGGGCTGTCCGGCGCTCGGCGGCCACTGCGGCACTCTGCCGGGAGACCTTGGACGCGAACTTGTCCTTCTCCTCGATCGCAGGGCACCATGCGTTCGAGGAAAACGCGAGATTTCGCGAGTCACGCGGGTCGTTGGAGTGGGGTCTGGAGTGTGGTGTTTTTGGGTCGATGTGGGGGTTACTTGAATCAACCTCTTCAATGCCTGCGCTCACACAGGAACCCGTGTACCTGCGCTGGTGGCAAAATCCACCAACGTGGAAAGTCCAAACGCTGAGTTGTTAGGTATTGCTGGAAAGGCCTATATGCAAACATGTTTTAAAACATATATTATATATATGTATATAATTATAGCCTCACATGGCTTCCCAGAAGTGAATCATTATACAACGGAGAAAGAAAACAAACAACCTATAATATATTGAAATCCTCCTTGGAATTAAGTGGGGGGTGGGTACACCGATTTTATAGTCATACAATGCTGCATATGACATCCAAAATGAGAGGCTGCATTTTGAGCTCTATAGAATTGGGGACTGTGAGACAGAAAATCATGGCCAGCTCTATAGAATTGGGTTGGGGACATGGAAGAAAAGTAGACATTTCAAGTACAACTAACATAGAATCGTAGGGCACAAGGTATTTGCGGACAGTTTTTCTTCAATTATGGGGTAGTAGGGCCTCTATAGAATAGCAGGCTTTGGGTTGCAAAATCTGACTACGTTGGAAACAGGACCTCTAGCAACCTATTCCTGCATATTCCTGCATGAATGAAAGCTACCACAATTCTATAGTATCTCAACATGATCATTGGCCAAAAATCCTCTTGACATGTAAAGTTCCATCATGGCCATGGCTTCACTATAGAATCAGACTTATTTAATTGCCAAGCTATTCACAAAAATCCTCAATGGATCGAGGCTCGCAATCTCCTGTGTTCTCTATAAAATCAGACTCTCTGACATGCCACGTCGAACATGGGCAGATCATTATTAATTTAAACATGCTTGTTTTGTGATGGTATCATTATCGATTTTGTAGTGAAAAAAACAAGGGGAATACATGGGAATATAGTGAATATCAATATCCATTCACACACTAGAGCACACACGTCGGACGACACGTGGTTCCAAACTCTACCAGACCAGTAGAAATGGTACATGGTTTGGAAAGTAGGACGTGTTTCCAAACGGCACCAAACCAGAAGGAAGGGTACACGGTTCCAAAACCCTGTAATGCTCTCCTTGCACAGTCGCCAGATTCCATCGACGGCGCGGATCAACAGCTGGCATGAAGACAAGCGCCATGTCTGTAGAGGCGATGTAAAGACGTTTCACCACATGACCAGGGACCAGTGACTTGGGGAGCTCATGGTACCAGACCTCATTAAGATACAATGACCGGACGTGAAGACCTATGAAGACCAAGAGGGACATGAAAGACACCAGGAAGTTGTGTAGGGGAAACAGGTGGAACAAAAGGGACAAACCTGAACGACCCGAAGCTGTCCAAAACCGGAAGGAATGGTACATGGTTCCAAAAGCAGGGTACACCCAGGGGCTCCAAAGGATAGGTTAAACTGATCCTCAGCCCTGAGACATAGTATAACTACGTCGAGACAGATCACGGTAGATCACGCTAGATCACGCATGTAGCAAGGATCAGGTTAATGGGCATGGTGCAAAAAGATCAGTGAGGATTCATTTGAGCCCTGCATAAGAATTGCTGCCTCTTTCTCAAACTCTCACCCTCCCAGTGAACTGCGCACACTTTTTTTCCCAGTTCTCATTCGATCATCGCTTCTTGTTCTTTCCTATGGTGCGGTGCACACGCCATCCGACAGATGCCAACCTCAAATTGGCACATCGGAGCAATGATTGCTCCAAGGATGATCTGGAAACCTTGCGCGCTACAACTTTGGCCCAGCCCATCGAATCCTCATCATGAAATGTATGAAAAAATCGCCCATTGGTTCCTTAGATCTGCTCTGGCCGTGCAACCCCCCCAGACCCAGACCAAAAAATATGCATCCACACCGCAGGCATACAAAACACAGTCATTGAGTTGTGAATGCATGCATTCATACATTAGATTCTCTTGAAACAACGTAGCCGAGTTTCTCCCTGAAAGTGTTTCCCGCAATAGATGGTGAAAAACCTGGACAAATCCACAATCGAGACTGCTCTTACATGTGGCATAGACTTGAGGCCAAGACATGAAGCTTCGGCTTCACCAGCCACATCAAATGCATCTGCCTGCCGACAAAAGACGTATGTTGTGATTTTGGTATTTGTTGAAGTCAATCATATTGTAAAAAATATTTTTCAACCTGGCCGCACCCCGCCTCATGCAGATCGAGCTCAGCTTCAAGTGCGCCCGTAGAAACTGCATGCCCGCTCGGTAAATTGATCTGGCTTCCTCTGGTGACCTTACTGGGGCTCAGACATGAATGTACTAAGGACACACAGGAAGAGAAAGAGACAGGGAGATAGTGAGGGAATTGCTCACCATCCCACACACACATGAAAGAAACACATCTTGCCAAGTTGCAGGAAGCGCCCGCATCGTTCAGTCAAACCAAAGTATCTGCACACTCCATTCCTGAATGGTGTGATTCGAGCAGGAACTGGAACCATGGCAATTGTGTTCAAGAAGGGAAAACTGATCCCACACAACATGGATTAAACAGGATGAGGCTCAATGCTAACAACTGCTGGGATAACCGTTCGTCACTAGGCATTGCCAAATTTCCTGCCCGCACCTCTTGATCTAGCCAACTTCCAAACTTACGCCTGCCTCCTGGAAATGTTCCATTGTGGGCATGCTCGGTGCAATGCAGAAGGTATTCTGCAACAACTCTCCCCTGGTATGCCTTGACCGTCATATAGGCACCGTGGGAGGCTTTCACCACCTCAGCTATTGAGTCCTGAAAAATGTTTGTATCAGGTACATAGACCCCAACTCAAGGCAAATTAGAGAATCAAACAGCATTGAAGGAATGGAAGCAAGGCACAACACCAGGTGTCCATCTATTGGTGGGCGCGCAAATTTTCTGGTCTTTTGTCCACATGTTGTAGTCTTCCCAAGCCTCGAGCAAAAGATCCTTCAGCGGGGTCACTCTGGCATTCCCGTAGTAGTTCAATTGAACCAACGTCATCCTTAATCGTGGAACTAGCAAAACAAGTACTGCTAGCATGCAACATTCATGGCGCCAATTCAATGCCATGCGTCAATGACCCTCCGTTTGCAGTATAAAGTAAGCCAAGGTTGCAGGCATGCATGCTGCAAATTTTCAGGCAGGAAATGTCAAAGTGCTTGAGGCAAAGAAGGGGGCCTCAGATGCAACCCACCTACTTCAGAGGAGAAACTTTGCACGCGTATACAACATATGTTCGAAGTCTGACGCTCAAATCATTGATGCCAAAGAACATGGAACTTGTGGCAGTTCGACGTTGATAAATGACAGAGTGGAGTGTTCTGTTTGTGCCCAATCTGGATTCTCCCTCAGGTCCGTGTAGTGGTTCATTGCTCCACAACTAGCCCTGCAACGGAAGCAAACAAAATTTGCTTGCCAGCTGGAAGCATGCTGCCAAATCAGTCGATGGTAGTCCTGATCACCCCTAAATTCAGCGACAACAAACCTCTCCCCGTGGTCACAAAGCATACCGCCAGTGGCCGGGTCAACGCCAGCAAAAGCCATGTTCAAGCTCCACGTGATTTGGGCAAGGATCGGCCTCAAAGTCAAAGGCCCAGCCATCCAATCTGAACGTAGACAGAACAGCAGGTAGCGTGAAAGTCTGACGTCAGCCGGTCTGTAGTGTACGAGGTTCAGAAAGAGACAAAAGACCTTGTAGGGCTCAAATGAATTCTCACTGATGTTTGCTTCATCCCCATATAGCCCGATCCTTGCTAAATGCGTCAACGAACAAGAAAAGAATAGCACGCTTTGATTTTAAGTGGATCTATCAAATTTTGCAGGGACATCAATTCCCACATGCACTGTTTGGTTTTAAGTTAGGTTTTAGGACATGACATATACATGCTTGTATAATAAGCACAGTTCAAGTGTCGGAATCAAACTTGTGTCTTGTATTTGTAGTGCTTGTGGGTGCCCCACCGATTTCAAGTGTTCCCAATATTCTCGAACAACTTTATCTTCAATGCGGAGGCCAGACCTAGACAAGTGTTGCAGGACTTGATGTGGGTTGAACATCGGTAGCTTCCGCAAAACCACAGTCCCGTCGGCTTTGCCAGCTTCTGTTGAGCATTCAATCCAGACAGGATCCTTGCAGGGATGCCCAATGATGAATGTGGATACAACATCGTTAAGATCTGGTCTCAAATACGGCCAGTTGCAACATCTTTTCGATCTTGAAGATGGCACTTCAAGGGTTTTGATTTCCACACAAATCGATTCATCACAAAAGACAAACTAAACAATAATACAAAACCGAGTTCAGGATGATCGATATATAGGAAAGCCCTGTCCAGCGGTAGTTTCACAGACCTGAAGAAATCCCGCGACTCATTTCCGGAGGAATAGCATCCCAGTTTCGTAGTGACCCGATGCATGCCGATGCCACCACACTCCTGCATGACACAAACCCGCATTGCCAGCTTTGAGAATATGTTCTGCGTGGAGTAGTTTCGGGTTTGAACAAATATAATTCTCGACCAAACCCACTTTCCAAACTTCATCGGACCATGCGACAACTGATTGACCATCCTCGACTTTGGCATGGAGTGTCTCCATCACTTGCTTGGCCGTGGATGCCTTGGACTCAGAGAAGGACGGTGGTGCTGCGGACACTTAAGGGCAACTAGTCTTTGCATGTCTTTGCGAACAAAGTTACACCAGAGGACAACTTCTCAATGGCGTCCCTCAAAGATGCCGGCATCGTGGTTGTATCATGTGTACCATCATGTTCAAGACAACTTCCACCTGCGTTCGGGGAAACCAAATGTTTTTGGCGGAAGTACGTGTTGACGCAAGCAGGGATCCATTCACTCCTGAGAGTTGATGTCAAAACTGGTAGCGTTTTGTTGCGCGCGATCTATTTCTGTAGAACGCACA